ATTTATTTATGATAAATTTGTAGTAAGTGGTTTTGTTTGTAGTTTTATTTATATACAAAAACGTTAGTAAACGGGCCGCAAGTGTTACTAGAGACTCAAAATATAAACTTTGATATGTTAATATGAAAATGCACTTTTTGGCATATTTTTCTCAAACACGGTGCTCTGAAAGATCTCATTTGTATAATTATATACTCATTGGTATTTATAAAACATTTTCTAGGTTATATTATTTTTTATTTATCTTATTTAAATTCAGAACCTAAATTTGGTATTGATCAAATAGACATTTTTCCAGTTATAATTTCCCAGAATTTATCGCAGAATATATAGTAATATATGAAGGTCCGGGATTAAAAAGGTCCACCACCGATGTGCCAAAAATCAGTAAAGTTAAGCATTGTTTAACAACAATATTTGAAAGTAGAGGAAAAAAGATGTATCGCCAGCTACAAATTTGATTTGAAAACGATAATCTTTGAAATGGGGGAGATAAACGGTAATCTTTGAAAATCCATAATAAAAGTATTTTCTTCCGTTGGTAGTTTTAGCATTAGTTAAAAATGTAATCATTTTGTAAAATACCTTTAAAATTATAATAAGGCTTTAAACCTTTTGCCACCTGCCCGTTACAAGTTACTCCGCATATAGGATAAAAAGGTCTAGATAACAAATTTTTGGAAGACATCAAAAAAGCACATTTCTATAATGATGATGTAGAAGTCAGTTTACTGAACGTAGTCAGAAAATTGTTCGTTTGATATACTTTTTATTAAATTTACTTTAATTCATTGAATGTAACTTGAAACTTTTCAAAAAGCAGGTCAAAGAAGAAATACTTAATTCATTTTTTATCTCTCCTCGCAAAAATTTGAAAATTTTGTATAAGCTCAGTAGTATTATTTACAATTATACACAAAATCCAGAATCCAACAAAAATCTGAAAAACTTGAAACGTAATTAATAAGCCGAAAAACCAAAAAAGACTCGGATTGGATTATACGATGTTTTCTATAGAAAGTGTATAAAACTTGCAGTTTGATTGTGTTGACAAAATATAGACAAACTAATGGGGTTTATTGTTTTTATAATACCTAATTGTATACAGCATTCAAACAACACATCCTCATGCACTTAAAGTATTAATATTTTTGATTCTCTAGAAATGGTTTAGAATATACCTTATTTAGCAAAACAACGTTTGCCGGGTCAGCTAGTCTTATATATAAAAATGGAGCTGTCTTTCAAATGTCCGAATAAAACTCGAAAACGGCTGAATGGATTTGGCCAGTCTTAGTCTTGAAAAATTTGTGCCAATCCAGAGATTGTCCAAAAGGTGAGATAATATTTCAAATCCGCGTAGAAACTTTACATATTTATTTTGAAAATTTTTGGTAAACAGCACTTGATTCAAAATGGCTTCCCACACAATGTTATTCAAATGACAGATGAACACTACTCATATGTCAAAACAAAGTTATAACAGATTATGTGTTATTCTTTTAATTTTAAAATTTAATTATTTATATATTTTTAAATGTTAATAAGAATGCTTATTTTGATTTTATATGAGGTTTTTATTTAATTCTCAAGTGTATGCTCACTTCCTTTTTGTATTCTTTTATCAAGAGCTTGAAATAAAACTATTCTTATTGATTAAGGCTTGCTTATGAAAGAATAAATAAAAATTTTTGTTTCAAACGCTGTGCTGTGCAAGTAGTTATTGGTTTTATGTGAATAATGTGTTACCAAAACATTTTATGAATTATATTATTATTGCATTTAGGTTATTCAAATTGAGATCCTAAATTTGGAATTCATCGAAGGGGACACCATAGACGTTTCTGTCTAATCACTTATTGCAAGTTATAATAGACAGCGATATGAATAAGAAAATTGGATTATAACACAGATAGTATTTTTAGAAATCATATTCATAAAGGTCTTCGGAAACGAAGTTGTTTGAAAATTGCTTATAAAGCTCACATTATGTTATTTTACATCCACATAAGTACAATTTAAATAGATATGGAAGTAATCATTTCGAATATATACAGTACAATCTATTTACAATACAAATTTTTCATCACAATACTATAAGGAGTTTTGTAGTTATATGGTCCATGACATTTATATTTTGAAGAATGTAAAGTATCAGCAATACGAACTTGCATTATATTACATGATTTCATCATCCGAATAGGCTTTCTAATGCATAGAAAGAAGTTTTTCCAGCATTCCAATTTGCAATCAAAAAAATTAAAATAGCTCAACATGTCCCACATGATAATAATAGATTTTTTACAGAATTTTTCTTAAGCTGTTTAGATACTAATACTGTTATCGATCGGGTCTTTTCCCAATTACTTCCCGAGCATACTATATAGTGGTCATGGTGATAACAAAGATACCACTAATTTGGATACACAGTTGTAGAAAAGGAAAATCAAAATAAACACATTGAAATTTATCACAATATGTACTCATGTTGTACATCTACATATGTTCAAGCAAATTAATAAAGAAGAAATGTCCATTTTATATAGCTATATAACAATCGGGGTAAAACGTTAAAACGGCTGTACGAATTGGGCCAATCTTATTTGCATAATTTTATATTCATTAGTATTTATAAAACATTTTCTAGATTATATAATTATTTTGGAATATAAATTTGGAATCGATCAAAGGGGACATTTTGTCGAATAACTTATTCCTAGATATAACAGACCACTACTTAAATAACAATAATCCATAACGAAAGTTTATGATTTCCTTTTGTTGTTAGTTTTTTGGGTTGTGAGCACTGTGATTTAGTTCACGAGACCTTAATATAAATTTTAACTTTTTAATTGTTTTATAAAATGTAATGTTAATTTTGAGTGAGATTCAACACTTTAAAAACTTACATCTGTGTGGGGCAAAAATGAACAACTGAACATTGACCAAGGCTAAAGACTAAAAAAGACTTGGATTGAATTATACCATATTTTTATAGAAAGTGTATAAAAGTTCCAGTTTGATTGTATTAATAAAATATGGTCAAACGAATATTGTTATGAATTATATAATTTATTATTATCCAAGTAGACTTTGGAGTTTATTGTGTTTATAAAATACCTCATTGTCTGTACCATTCAAACTATACATTCTTACACTCCTAAAATAAAGTATTCTTTTTTTATTCTTTAGAAGTTGCTTAGAAATACCTAACTTAGCAAAACAACGTTTGCCGGGTCAGCTAGTATATATATATATATATATATATATACATTAGGGTGGTCTTTAACAAGGACATTTTCGAATTTCTTTGCTCCCAGGGGCGCAATTGCTTCCAAATAAAAAAAAAAGATTCTCTGAAAGTTTTAGCTCTTTTTATAAACATTTAGATAGAGTGCACAATGAAAATTACTTGCATATATTTGTTACTAAGATTTGTTTAAGAAGTGTCAATCGGTTCGTGCGCCATCTGTGATCATTGATCGTTAACTCAAATCATATGATACATAAGAATATTTATAAACCACATAACATGCACATAACCTCTTATTAAATACATGTGAGCTGTTCTATAAATCTATTCATCATGGCATCAAGAATAATTTTGCAGCAAAATATTTATTTATTTGGTGATGTTGATACTCAAATTGTCAGTAATAAATTACCATCAAAGTTACAAGCGCTAATACTTTTTTTTTTAAGTTTTAATTATTCTATAATTATTAATATTATCAAGTATAATTATTAAGTAAATACTTATTTTATAAAATACATCAAATTTTTGTCGTAAAATTTTTATTTATATAATATTGATTTATAAAATATGATGATGATGCTGCATATCATTTGGATAATTAGCTTTCATCATTTCTTTCGTTCATATTTAAAATGATTGCATTTTTTTTAGTATCGTAAGAATTGTATGATAAATTGTTGCTGCTCTGGTTTCTTGCTCAGTATGTTGTGATATTCTTCAATTAACTTCACTGCTCGCTCAGCAATATCATTAACCACTTTCAAATTTCTTACCAATAGCAAGCCCCTCTGGTAATTTTCATTCTGATACCACTCAGACGGATTTAAATTTAAAAAGTCTGTATTTATTTCAAATCTTTTGAAAAACTAAAGTGATCTTGCTGATACAAATGAAGCGATGTTCCAATTATATACTGATCTGATATTTCGAATCTCGAAGCGTTTAACTTTTTCTGAGGTTTTATCAAAACCTTTCAACATGATCACCTTTTGCTTCTTAATGTTTAATGATATATTTTCATCAAAAAATGCCATTGCTACACTTTCAGCATTTAAATACCATAAATGCTGGCTGAAAGTCTTTAATGCCACCTCAGATATTTTAGCGTCTGTAGATTCAAATTTTATAAGTTCTTTTAAAAATAATAAATCATTATTTGGAGCTTGAGCTGCTAGAGTGCAAGTAAACCACGCTTTTATGTATACTGTAGCAATAAAAATACATATTTCAGAAATTGACTTGATTAATTTAGTTGCCATTGTAAATTGTTCACGAAATAGAAAATTTTTTATAGTATATATGGCCTTTGACATCCATCTAGCATGATGGAATGCGCCCGGTTTTCTAAATTTTACTTTACTGGAAGGAACTTTACCAATAAATATCTGAACAAGCTCCAAAAGTTCCCTGTAGTCTTCTCTTGGTTGTTCAGAATCTAGTTGCTTTTGGATAAATAGATTTATGTCTTCGATGTAATTTTGTATTTTGTCTTGCACATACAAGTCTTCAAAGCCAGTAGAATATTGACTTTTATCCATTTCTGTCCAGTGCTCTCGGAATCTTTTAAACAAAGGTACATCTGGTCCTGAAGTTGCAGGTATTTTAAGTTCAAAAACAGCTCTTAAAATAAGTTCAAATATGTGATGCCTACAAGGCAAATACAATAGTTGTTTTTCAAGCAACTGTTCAAGCCAAACTGCAGCTCCTTTGTTGGATCCTAGATTTGCAGCAGTAGTATCACAGCAAAGAGCTTTGATATTGTCTGAAATACCCCAATCATTAATAGCGTCAAACATTGCATTAGCTTGGGACTGTCCTGTACCATCATCTAATACTGGGATCGCTAATATTTTTTCTATTTGTCCACAACTCAATTGAGCAGCAGTCTTTCTTTATTTTCTCCGCTTGAAGTTTTTAAAAAATTTCCATCCCAGTGTAGAACACTAGCATTCAAGTCCTCAATTTTAAACGGTTCTTTGATTTGTTCGATTTTTTTTTCACGTATTTTTTCTCTAATTCGGTGTATAGATGTTTTATTTACTATTAACGGATTTACATCAATATTTAATGATGCAGTCTTTCTTTATTTTCTCCGCTTGAAGTTTTTAAAAAATTTCCATCCCAGTGTAGAACACTAGCATTCAAGTCCTCAATTTTAAACGGTTCTTTGATTTGTTCGATTTTTTTTTCACGTATTTTTTCTCTAATTCGGTGTATAGATGTTTTATTTACTATTAACGGATTTACATCAATATTTAATGATGAACATAAAGCCATAATCAAACGTACAGCATTCCGGTCGCTTATTTTACAATAATCCAAAATTGCTGCTAATTTATCATCTATGATATTTATTGTTCCACGAGATTGTATCGGTTCTTGGTGCTGAGGAACTACCAGTTCATCAGAAAAATTTGATATAGATGATTTTGTTTTCTGACTCAACGGAATTGCACCTTCCACTTCACTGCTTGACGTGAATTCCACAAAGTCACCTATTCAATTACATAAAATGTATAAAAATAAAAATGTATGATTAAAATTAAGGTTCAACATTTTTATAAATTATTTTAAAATGAACTTTACCGTATTGAGCTTTGTCTCTCTCCGAGTTTTCCCGACGTAGCTCTATTCAATTAACATGAAATGTATAAAAATAAAAAATTATGATTAAAATTAAGGTACAATGATTTATAAATTATTTTAAAATCAACTTTACCGTATTGAGCTTTTTCTCTCTCCGATTTTTCCCGCCGTAGCTGTAGTAGTTCATCCTTCATTTTTTATACTTGTTCATTATCATCAGACTCAATATTAGCTATGAAACCTATTATACCATCTTTTCGTTGCTCATTTAAAAAATGCATTATAGGTTCGTTAACGATTTTTTCCACATTCGCATGAGCAATGTCGAACAAATTCAACAATGATAATTTAAATTCGTCCTCCTTAGTTTTATTTGTGTCTCTGTTTACACTTTTTTTGATAATCTTATATTGTTCATGTAATTTCAACAAATTCTGTATACAATGATCTTTTCTTTTAGTAGGTATCTGAGCCTTTTGCCAAAATATTTTTACTTCATCTATACAAAGTTCAGCACTTTCACGTAAATTAAATTTAAGAATACGTATGTAATAAAAAAACACTTTCAGCACTTGTAACTTTGATGGTAATTTATTACTGACAATTTGAGTATCAACATCACCAATTAAATATTTTGCTGCAAAATTATTCTTGATGTCATGATGAATAGATTTATAGAACAGCTCACATGTATTTAATAAGAGGTTATGTGCATGTTATGTGGTTTATAAATATTCTTATGTATCATATGATTTGAGTTAACGATCAATGATCACAGATGGCGCACGAATTTACCGATTGACACTTCTTAAACAAATCTTAGTAACAAATATATGCAAGTAATTTTCATTGTGCGCTCTATCTAAATGTTTATAAAAAGAGATAAAACTTTCAGAGAATCATTTTTTTATTTGGAAGCAATTGCGCCCCTGGGAGCAAAGAAACTCGAAAATGTCCTTGTTAAGGACCACCCTAATATACATATATATGTATGTATATATATGTATATGTGTATGTATATTTATATATATATATATATATATATATATATATATATATATACTAGATGACCCGACAGACGTTGACCTGTACCCACATCTACGTTTTTTTAATATACTAATATTTATGCCGTTGAGTTAAAAATAATCATTATTGGCTTTCGAATTACTATTTACACCAATATATGAGTGATGTTGAATGTAGAACTGTTTCAAATAAAATGATTATTCTCAATTCCCGGAGTTAACACTTCAATTATCTATTTAAAAAATATTATAAAATGTTCAATAAAATTGTATATTAAAAATTATGCACTGCTAATTTATTTCCAATTGCTCAATTTATTTTATTGCCAAGGGTTATACAATTTTTCAGTCATACCTGTATATGTGGATGTATAAATAAATATATTTTGTTGAAAAATCATCGTCTGCCTTTGTGATATATGGTCATAGCATAAGACACACGTGTTGAAAATTGAAGTCTTTTAAAAGGTATTCAGAAAGAATTACTACATAGCATTCATATAGGTACAATATCACCTTGGATTTTTCTACCCAAAATAATTGCTTCAATAATGTTGCCTATTCTTTTTATAATTACGTACCATATTTTAACTGGCTTTTAGTAATTTATGATCTAAATTAAATTTTTTTCACTAATAATTCAATGTACATTATTACTTAAGTTTATATTTGAAGTGAATTAATTTATCAAATTCTATTCACATGTGCTCTATTCAACCTACGATCAACAAAATTATTGCAGTAAATGGAGAGGAAAAAAGCGTGTGTCGGAAATAGGCTAATCTTTATCTTAAGTTCAGAAGTGAAAACAATTTGCACTTTGTCACCACCCACCGGATTAATTGAATTATAACTCTTAATTCTGATTTTATCAGTACTTGCAATATACTATTTTAAAGGTAATTATATAAGCTACAGCTTTCTCTATCATAAATTTTACCGTAACTTCTCTTATTTTGAAATGGCAAAGGATTGAAGGACTCGAAAGACACTCTGGTTGGACACTATCAATATTTGTGTAACAGAAAAATAATAAAAAGCAATAATTGGTCAGAAAAAGACCTTGAATTTTCATTTATATACCTTTATGCGTAACTTTTTTTTAAAAATAGATTTTTTTTCATGAAATCATGAGCTTTTTGGAAGTCGTTTGCACTTTTTTTTCTAGAATCCGCCAAGATCTCTTAAACCAAGTTGATTCTAGACGGAATACGATTATTTTTAATTTTGGTAGAAATGGCACTCAAAAACTATTTGCTTTAAATGAAAAAAATATTGTGTGCGTCTTTTATCTGCATGATAGCTCACTTATTTTACACGCAGAAGTACTCATTTTAAAGCTTATTTTGAATACTATAAAATCCCATTTTCATATTTAGCCTAATATTGTATCTAGAACACCGATTTATTAGGATTTTAATTGATATAATTTTGTTCATTACGTGATATTCATTTAAATGTATATTTTCAAAAATATTTGCATAAAACGATGAAAAACGCAAAAAACAACAAATTTTTAGTAGCCAGTAATTTGAAAAGTAATTTCTTTCTTGAAAAACATTATTAAACAGTTCTTTTGTCGATATCCGACGTTAGTTTGAAAGAAATACAATTGCACCACTGAAAAGGGATGTCATCCCCCCGGGAAGTGGCAAATGATTCTAAATTATTTTTACTTTTAACCTTGAGAGTAAGATGAACCTAATTCCAAAATTTCATGCAAATTGGAGCACATCAAAAATATTCAGATCCAAAATGCTCCATTGTCTTGAGTAAATATATCGTATCCAATGCCAAACATATGAATTTTTGACACAATGAAACTTCTAAATAATTGTTTGAATAAGTAAATTATTTTTGTATCGTGATTTAGTAAAGTAAGGCAAAACACGACTGCATTTAAAAGTTAAAAAATAATAATCAGTCAAAGTGATGTGCGATCACTGACAGACGCATGCGCAGACTGCATCACCTGTCAGATGTTGACTGTAAATCTTAAATTATTTAATTTTGGCACATCTCAGCTGCTTTTCGGCAATAATAATATAGTCATTATATTTTTCTTATTTATAATCATAAATATATTATATTTTAATATTGTCTTAGCCTATAAGTGAATAGAAATGTTTGGCAAATGACAGTCTTCATTTGTTTTTAATGTCAAACTAAGCTTCAAATATTTTCAAGGTCAAACAATGATAAGCGGTTTTTTGTATTTTTTTCCATTGATTTCTACAATCTATCTATATTTTTATGAATCTAAAAATTCTAGAAAATTTCCCGAACAAACTTCAGGTAGATTTATGAAAATCCGAATTATGTTTGGAAGGATTAAGCATTCATATAAACTTACAGAAGAATTTTATATATAAGATATATATATATATATATATATATATATATATATATATACTTTTTTCTTTTTTCTATTTTTGTATCTATTTAATATCTAGTTTTTATTATCTTTTCTATCTTTTATATTTTGTTTGTTGTTAAGTGTTGCTGTTCTGTTAATTTTTCTTTTAATTTACAGTTTCTATACCAATCTGCATATTTTATAATTGCCTAGTTATATTAATTTTTATACTATTTTTAGATCCACTGATGATGAAATTAAATTGAATGTCGAAACGTTTGGAATTAAAGATTATTTTATAAATCTTTGCTCATATATTTCAACATCAAAATTAACTACTTAATCATGTATATATATATATATATATATATATATATATATATATATATATATATATACTTCAGATGCCAGTATGCCGATCAACGTACATCAGCAGATATTTTATTACAACATCAATACATATGTTTGGAAAATACATATAAAATAAATCAACTCTCAATGCCAAGCCCAGAGCCAATAATTAAAGAGAATTTAGCTCTTAATTGTCTTCAAAATTCCAACAAATCAAGGATATTATCTGAATTTACAGAAATAATGAAGATTGGTAATGGCGCATTTGGCGATGTTTTAAAGGTACTTGCCCTTGTCATCTTTTTATCTTAATTGTATTTTATTCTGATTTATTTCATCTATTATTTTTCTTGAGTTGCAGTTTTTTTATATCAATATTAGACATCAATTGCATGAGTTATATTAATATGTATAATTACAGATAGTGTGTATGTAATAACTTTCATTACTAAATATGCAGAACGGTTGATTAAATTTTGTAGAAGTTTTTATAATACTCATTGTTCGTTTTTACTAAATTTTGATATCTGTACTTGGGTTACCAGCCGGTGTATATATGCAGGTTCGGAGAGTATAACTATAATTATAGTTATTATATGTATATTATGATATCGAATTTGTGGAGAATATTATTCGAATTAGCCAATTAACATTAATTAGCTTTATGAAGTTATATAGGTACTTTATTAGTTCTTTTTAATAAAATACATTTTAAAATCCGAAATGGATGAAATGAAATGGATTGACCAAATCAATTTGATTTATACAATCAAAGATAATATGAGTATGTTTAAAATAAATCTAATTTATATTGATCATTTTTTAGTCAATATGAAAATTTTATTTTTGAAAAATAAACAGTTGAACAATTTACCTAAATTGTTGAATTTCACTTCTTATTGATTAAGTTCATTATGCATACGTATCGTGAAGTTCATGCAACTTTCTTTGAGGCAAAATGCTTAACTCGATGATTATACATTTTATTGAATATTTCCCCTTCATGGGCAAAGAATAAAATTAGCTGCTAATTAGGCACGTAAGTTTATTTTTTGTTTTAAATTTAATCTTGATTTCTCGTCGGTGGCGATTTCAATTGTAAAAATACGTTATGGGGTTCCAGAATCACAACAACGAAAGGTCGAGAGCTTGAAAAGGTAATAAAAGCTAACAAATATGCATTCATTTCACCATGGTCACCAACATACTGGCCATCAGATCCAAATAAGCGTCCGGACTTGTTGGGCTTTGCCATAATTAAAGGTATTAGCATTTCTAATATCTCAATAACAAACTGCCATGACCTATCCTCAGATCATTCTCCATTGTTACTATCACTTGGATCTACAGCCATCAAATATTCTTCAACGACTCAATTACACAACAGTTATACAAACTGGGAACTGTATAGAGACTATTTATCTCAGAAAATCGTCTTGGGTATAAGGCTGAAAACATCTACAGAAATAGAGAAAACTTTAGACAATTTGACAAATATTCTTAAAGATGCAGCTAGATTTTCAACTCCTATCATTGAGCGTAAAAATAATTTTTCCTACAGCTTTGAGATCAGAAATCTCATAGCTGAAAAAAGGAAAATTAGAAGGCTTTGGCAGAAATATCATGATCCTCATACTAAAACTTAATTAAATAATTTAAGTAACAAGCTCAAGTACAAGTTAAGAGAATTTAACCAAGATAACTTCGACAGGTATGTTTCAAACTTAAACACTGGCGATAATTCTATCTGGCGCCCTATAAGGAGCATCAAAAGGAAGAATCTAATAAACAACCCCATAAAAGTATCAACTTCAGACGGATTCACTTGGGCTAGAAGTAACAAGGAGAAAGCTGATTGCTTCGCGGACTACCTTGCAACAGTATTTAAACCAAACATTAACAGTTGCAATACCCCTGACGTACTCAACCCTCAACCTTCATATTCGACAACAGAATCCCGAGTGCCTAGGTTTACACCGGGTCAACTCCACTCTTGTTGTCAAACTTTGCGGAACAGAAAGGCTCCAGGCATAGATTTAGTTACAACAAAGATGCTGAAGGAACTACCAAAAAAGGGATACGTTCTTTTAACTTACATCATTAACGCTATTATTCGTCTGAACTATTGGCCAATGTCGCTCAAACAGTGTGAAATAATATTAATTCCTAAGCCAGAGAAAAATCCTGATTTAGTAAATTCTTACAGACCGATCTCGCTTTTGTCCAATATAGCCAAAGTTTTTGAAAAACTAATTCTATCTGATATTTCTAACCGCTACAATCTATTTCCAGACCATCAATTTGGATTTAGGCCGATGCATTCAACAATACAGCAGTGTCATAGGTTAGTAAACAAAATCCACAAATCTTTCGAAGATGGAGAATACTACACAGCAGCTTTTTTGGACGTGAAACAGGCCTTCGACAAGGTGTGGCATGAAGGATTACTTATTAAAATCAAGAATTTAGTTCCTGATTATCACAAATTCTTTCAATCCTACTTGGAGAAAAGACAGTTCAGAACCAAAGTTGGTACAGATTTATCCAGTTATCGATTCATAAAGGCCGGCGTCCCACAAGGTAGTTGCTTAGGCCAAACCCTTTATATTATTTTTACATATGATTTACCACAATCAGAAAATGCAATGTTAGGTACATTTGCTGATGACACAGTAATAGCAACATCTCACAATAATCCTGTTATAGCTAGCACAAAACTACAGCACCATTTAAACAAAATAGAAGCATGGGCCCAGAAGTGGAGAATTAAAATTAATGAATCAAAGTCTTGCCAAGTCACCTTCACCCTAAAGAGAGACAAGTATCCGGCAGTTATTATCAATGATAAAACGATACTTCAATCAGATACTGTAAAGTATCTGGGTTTGCACCTAGACAAAAAATTGAATTGGATTCCACATATCAGCAACAAATGTAAACAATTAGAGAGAAAAGTAAAATCCCTATATTGGATGTTAGGCCCAAAATCTAAATTGTCCCTCGATAATAAGGTGCTAATATACAGAACGGTGATTAAACCGATATGGTGCTACGGGGTTGAACTTTGGGGATGCGCCAGCAAAACGGGTATATCTGCCATTCAAAGGAAACAGAGCAAAATTCTTAGACTAATCACAAATGCACCATGGTTCGTTTCTAACGAGATAATTCATAATGATTTAAATATAGAAAAGGTCCAAGAAGTTGTAAAAGCTAGAAGTACATCCCACTTTGCCAGACTTCACAAGCACAAGAACGCTACTATTTCTCCACTGCTCGTCACCGCGGATGTGAGAAGACTAAAGAAAAAGCAACCAGCTGACTTAATTTGAATGATCATTTTAGAAACTCCCACTGGGGAGTTTTCTAAACAATTTTATTTTTACATATCATTATTTATATTTTTGTTTTTTTTTTTTTTTTGAACTCAAATACTGTATCTTAGTTACATACATCACAATAGCTTATAGAATTGTAACCCGTTCTGATTACTATTTTGAAAGTTAATAAAAAAAAAATTCAATCTTACATTATCTACTCGATCGAAATTTTTGTTTTTATAATGTATTGGCCATATGTTTTTATATATTTTTTCAAGTTTTTTAGAAATAATTTACACAACACAAAATTTTAAATATGGATATGTAAAAAAAAAATGAAAAAAATACGCAAATTGTTCAAATATCTGTAAACAAACTAAAAATAAATTCAAGACTAAGATCTGTATAGGTCCCATTTTTCACTATTTTTATTAGTTGCCTTTGATTTAACAAGTATTACTCATTTAATAACGTTTCTAATATTTCAGGTGCGCAACAATTTAGACGGAAGCGTGTATGCTATAAAGAGAATTCCATTAAATCCAAGAAATAAACAATTATATGGTAAAATAACTCGTGAAGTTAAACTGTTATCAAAATTATATCATGACAACGTTGTTCGGTACTATAACAGTTGGATAGAAACAGCTAAAATGGAGGTATGGTTCTAAATATGTTATTAGTTTGTAGATGAAAACGATTTCCTAAACATGAATCGAGTGAATTACAAATGCTGTAGTTTCAATTGATTTATTTGTATTTACTATATGACATGACAAATACTCCAGTCAATGGAGCTGATTTTTTTACTGTGCTTCGATTTGCATAAAATTTTGAATTAGGCTCATCTTATCTCATGTTCAAAAGTGAAAACTTTTTTTTTTATTTGCATAGATTTATTGCCGATCAAAATAATAAAAAATTCTAAGATAATATGCTGGAGTAAATGCATTTAAGAGATTATCTCTTATGAGATATCTCTTTTTTTTTTTTTGACATTTTATTTAAGATCGTATGGCCATTTTTGTTACTTGGTAAATTTTCATGGTATTTTTTGCTCCTTTCTTTTATCATTTTATTAATAGTTTTCAATTGCGCTCTTTGTATTATTTTTATATTTGAATTACTTGCGCGAGCCCAAAGCTCAATTCCGTATGTCCAGATTGGAAAAATTATTGTTAAATAAAAGGGGTTTGTTTTCATAACACATTTGAATTCCTGCCAATTAGCCAATACAACTCTTTGAACTTCTTCTCTATCTGTTTCCTTTTCATTTTGATGCGCGTTGATCAGCTTAATTTCTTATCCAGATGAATTCCAAGATATTTTACGCTCTCGTATTTTGGTATTTATATGTTGTTTATTTTTACGCTTGGGCAGTTTAGGGTTCTTGTTGTGAAGGTTATATGGCTAGATTTTGTTTCATTTATTTTTATCTTTCACTTATTAGGCCACTTTTCAAATTCCAAGACATATTGTTGTACATTTGCCGTTGCGACGGATGTACTTTTATGAGTACCATCGGGAAAATTATGCCGTTACTATCAGTTGGAATGACGTGTGTTTACAATACAATACAATACAATAGTGGCCCTAAAACACTCCCTTGTGGAGTTGATGTTTCGTAATTCTGATGTTTCTGTTCCAACTCTAGTTCTGAATAATCTGTTTGTTAAGTACCATTTCAATAGTAAAAATATCTTGTGCGTCAAAGAATGTTTTATTTTGAAGAGTAGGCTCTCGTGCCATGCTTTATCGAATGCCTGTTTGATATCGATAAAGATCGCTGAACAATATTTCTTTCTTTCTAGTGCCTTTTGGATACTATTTACTATCCTATGGCATTGTTGTATTGCGGAATGCTGGGTTCTAAACATGAATTGATGATTAGGTATTATATTTAAATACAATGAGTATTCTTACTAATAATAGTTTTTTCAACAATTTGGATAGAATTGGCAGTAAACTGATTGGTCTGTAAGATCTGATATTTGAAGTTTTAAAATCATTATAACCTCTGAAATTTTAAAACATTTTGGCCAATATCCCAACCTAAATATTGCATTAGAAATATATGTCAGCAGAACAATTGCTTTTCTTGACAATTCTTTCAATACCCTTCCTTACATGTTTTCTATCTTTGCACTCTTCTTATTATTTATGAGCTTCATAAACTCTTTTATTTCTTTTGGTGTTACTTTTTTATAATCCTGTACCCACATCGACGTTTTTTCAATATCATATACTAATATTTACCATTCAGTTTAAACTAATAATTATTGTTTTTCGAATTAGTATTTACACCAATATATAAGTGATGTTGAATATAGAACTGCTTCTAATAAAATGATGATTCTCAATTCCCACAGTTATCACTTTAATTATCTCTTTAACAAATATTAAAATATGTTCAATAAAATTGTATATTAAAAATTATACACTGCAAATTTATTTCCAATAGCTCAATTTATTTTAATGTCAAGGGTTATACAATTTTTTAGTCATACCTGTAGATGTTGATGCACAAATGAATGTTTTTTTGTTTATTCACAACTAAAATATTGATTTCGCAAATGTATCACACAAAAAATGATCGTCAGTCTTTGTGATTTATAACACATAGCAAATTCAAGAAGAATTAATATATAGCATTTCCGGTTTCAATAATGTTACCTTTAATTTTTATAATTTAGTAAATTTAATATCTAAATTACATTTTTCTCACTATTAATTCAATATACATTATTACTTAAGTTTATATTTGAAATGAATTAACTTGTCAAATCCTGTTCACATGTGCTCTATTCAACCTACGATCAACAAAATTGTTGCAGTAAATGGAGAGGAAAAAAGCGTGTGTCGGAAATAGGTTAATCTTCATCTTAAGTTGAGAAATGAAAACAATTTACACTCCGTCACCACACACCGCATGAATTGGATTATAACTCTTTTAATTCTGATTTTATCAGAACTTGTAATACTTTATTTTAAAGATAATTTTACCGTAACTTCTCTTATTTTGAATCGACAAAGGATTGAAGGGCTCGAAAGACACTCTGGTTGGACAGCCGCGCCCTCTTTAAACAATAATACCCGTATATATTATTCTAAATTATTTTTAATTTCATACTTGAGAGTATGAAAAGATGAACCTAATTCCAAAATTTCATGCAAACCTAATTCCAAAATTTCATGCACATTAAAAATATTCAGACCCAAAATGCTCCATTGACTTGAGTAAATATTTTGTATCTAATGCCAAACACATGAATTTTTGACACAATGAAACTTCTAAATAATTTTTTGACTAAATAAATTATTTTTGTATTGCTATTTAGTAAAGTAAGGCAAAACACGGCTGCATTTAAAAGTTAACAAATAATAATCTGTCAAAGTAAATTATAGGCTAAGTTTGATGTGCCATCACTGACAGACGCATGCGCAGGCTACATCACCTGTCAGACGCATTTTGACTGTAAATCTTATATTATTTCAATTTTTGACACCACATCCTTAATTAAAACGATATTATAATACTAATCAAATTATATTGAAATAACTAAAATATAAGAAAAGTTCAAAATCGACTAGTACAAAGGTGTAGAACACACGAAAATTAAATTAAAATTTATTTAATAATTATCAAAAACTTCGTGATTAGTTAAATTCCAAAATTATATTAATTTTGATGCTGTCTGTATTTTGTTATCTTATGTGTGGTTTTTGCGGGCGAAATTTCAAATATCGTTTTAATTAAGGATGATACACAGAGCAGTAGTTCAATAATTACTATGAGTATTTATAGGTTGAGATATTCTATTCAATATATTCTTATATATTATTTAATTAAAAAAAAACTTCAATATATTATTTAATATATTTATGACTAACTTAGTATACTTGCATTTGTATGCTTGCGCTGTAGCATGAATAGTAATCATACCGATATACTATTATTATGTATATTTTTTATCAATCTATTTTTTATTTATTTAGTGGTATTAATAAATAATATCAATAATTATTAATTAATAAGTAATAATTAATTAATAAATTATTAATGATAATTAAATCATATAATATACTTGTACAATATATAAATATATATTTAATTATATAAAATATAGTTATTATTATACATATACATATAAATATATAAGGTAAACGTACCATATTACGGGATGTTAAGAAACGTTTGACTTTAAAGACGAATTTTAGAGAAAATAGGAAAGTGGACGAACTAAATCTGTTATATTTTATTAATTAGACCTTTGAGATTATTATAAAACAAGATTTCTCGTCGTAGAACGTCATTTATAGAAATAATCGGCATTTTGGTGAACCACGCGTTTGTCTCTAATTCCGTGATAAAATTCGGTTCATGAACCTAATGCCGGGAGTCGTTGTACACTATTCCGTGATAGCGCTCGAAGCATACATTTTTGATCGTAATGCCTTGATAAATATATTTGTAGGTTATGAAAAGTACGGTTAATTGAAAAATAATATTTTGATATAATTTTAAACACATATTTAATATATTTTCATGGAAATTTGAACAGTATAAGTGATTATAAAACTTCCAAAACAAAAATGAAATAAAAGCTGGTATTAAAATTACAGCAATTATTGCAACACTGGAAATGATATGAATAAATCAAACTGGAATGAAAAAATAAATCAAATAAAAAATATGAAACAAAGAGGATATAATTTATGTATTCAATTATCAATCCTAAATCTGCATAAATATATTTATTACTTAACATTCAAAATATATTTAAAGTATGAGATCATATAACAATTAGCTAGAGGGTTAATACATAATTTTCTTATTAAACTATATTTCTTATTTAATGAAAATATAAACTTTATGTAAATATATACTTTAAACTCTAAATAAAAAATTTAAACACCAAATAAAAATAACAATTTCATCAACAAATGTAAATAATCTTTAAAGTCCTTAAATTTACTAGATTAAATCAGGTACAGAAAATACACCTCTTTTATTTACTGGAATTGGTGGTTTTATTTTTTGCACTATATCTTTGGCATCATAATCTAACACATCGTCTTTATCAGGCCAACGCCAGTTAACTCTTCCATTTGCAAAACCGCTCATAGTCATAGTTTTGACTAGGTACTTTGGTTGATCAGTCTTATCATTCGAGGTTCCGAGTATTTTTCCAGGAAACTTTTCACCTTCATAGTATATTACCACAAAATCGCCTTTGTTTAAAATGGTACTTTTGTTTTCTTTGTTTTCTGTATTACGATTTCTAATATTTCATATTCTATATCTTCTCTATCAATAATTTTTGAGCTTGTTGCTTTGCTGTTCATTGTCGCAGGCGTTGAGCACTGTATTAAGGTATTATGTTCTTCAATTCCATCCAATGTCAAGTCCTCATTTGGCCAGTCTAAAGTAATTTCTGAAAGCGTATAATTATTTGCATCTATCGTAGAGTCACCCAAGTGCAAAGACTCCAGAGAAGGAACCATATGATTGCGAGGATTTGAATAAATTTGTCTAATGCTTTTCCAATAGTTGTATAAACTTGTATCTTCTAAATCCCCATTCCACTCTCCATAGCAATTTTGAAATGCATTTAATTTTGCCATTCCCAAATGTGCCTCAAAGTGTGCAACAAAATTATTTGAAGTTTGTAAGGTTGATGGACGGCAAATCTGAGTTAGATGATGGATCAGTATTTTTGACAAGTCGACTGTAATCAATGGCGTTTTCATCAAATGGGTATAGTCCGCATTTGCGAAAACCATTTCTTATTGTCTCTTGTTTTACTCATCAATAGATTTCTTAATAATTGGTCCAAAATCTTCTCTTTTTAAACGACGTGCATTATTCTCTATTCGCCAAGAATACACATTTCTACTCCAGGCACTTTTTAAGCTGTGAAAAACCGCTACGTTCATAGGCTGTAAAATATGAGTTGAATTGGGCAATAAGGCAACCAAAATAATGCCAATTTCTCTACATAATTTACACAGGTGATAGGACAAATGCGAAACATGACCATCCAAAAATAAAACAACTGGTTTTTCAATATTTTCGTTTATAAGGAAAGGATTGAAAACATTTCCAATATACTCAAAAAAGTTTTCGCTGGTCATCCACCCTTTATCACTTCTGCCTATGGACCAGGTTTTCGGGTATTTTGCTAATATGTTAGATGGTATCCTCTTATAAGGAAATAATGACAGAACTGACATCAACTTCCCATCTGCAGAAGCGCCGATCAATACTGTAAGGCATTCCTTTTCATCATTTCCTGATCTGCAATGTACAGATTTGGAACCTGTTTTAGCTAAAACAGCTTGACCTTTTGGGCACAGGAAAAATGCAGATTCATCGCAATTAAAAATTCTAGATGGGTCTTGTAAAAGCTCACTAAAGTCATTTTCCTGAAAATATTTCTCAACTCGCTTGAACCATGCCCTAATTTTCACCTCATTCACACTGACATGAGCCGTAGTCAAGGGTTGACATATTCTTTTACTAATCAAAGGGTTTCTTCTAAGAAAACCCTCATACCAATGCCGACCTGGATATCCTTCCCTAAATTTGTTAGACCGACCGAGTTCAGCAACCAGTTTATGTATAGAATGTAATAAAATGTCTTTCGTTACAGGAAAACCCATTTGAGCCATCGTTATAACCCATTCAACAATAAGGTTTTCTTCTTCGGGGGTCAGCACTGCTGGAGCTCCTGCACGACCTTGCTTTTTGTATTTTCCGTGTAATTTATCATATAAGGTTTGATTTGGAATTTTATATGTTCTGGAAGCTTTGTAAACAGATAAAGTACCATCGCGAATTTCTTTTAAAGCCTTTTCTAGGGTTTCATGTGAATATTTATTTGAAGCCATCGGTACTTTAAAAAACTAAACAAAATATTTAAAAGTTATATATTTATACATAAAATTTACATAAACTGTCAAGTACGTTGCAAGTATTAAGCAAATCAAAACTACCGTATTTACGAATATGTCCCTAATTCGCTGCATACATACACACATACCCGCACACTAGTGATTCGTGCTCTATAAATATCGTGCGTCATTGATAGAAAACAAGTGTATCTATAAGCTTTGACATTACACAAATGATTTATCGTAGATGAAATAAAAGAAACATCTGATTCTCTCATTACTACCATTTTTAATTTCAAACTCAATTATTAGGGTTAAAAATTAAAAAGAACATATACCGTAATTAGGTCACAATATTCTGTGGTCATCACCAAACTTAGTAACACCAAAAACACGACTCAATTTAAGCATAATTGAGAATAAAAGACTAAAATAATTCAGGTCTACTTTTCCTAATTGCGTGACACTCACGGAATAACGTTCAATGCCTCAATTGTGTGAACTTAATTACGGGAGTCACAAAATTGACACTTTCTTAAAACATATTTGCTCGATTTAACTATAAAACTTATCACTTATTATTTCTTAACAATAATATCACAAATTTATATTGAATAAGCTTGCCAGTGTCACATAAAAATCTTAAGCAATTGTAGCGTCACATTAACCTAACTAACAACAGGACTGTACATAAATGGCGATCGGGTTATGACAGATGCGTTCAGAAGCTCTATATGGTTTTAAAAACTAATATTTAAAATGGAAAATCGTGCTCATTTGATGAGATTCGAATTATAGTTTATGTGGTATTGTTTAAAATTATTATTCACTGACTGTTTTCTTATTTTGCGATCAAAATGAAAAACTCCCGTAATAATGTACTATCCCGGAATAGTGTACGTTTACCTTAATTATTCAAAATATAAATATATATATCTTGTGTTTTATTAAAAATGTTTTAATTTATCAAGACGCGCGGCGAGCAATGCTGTTGCTAGTAGTTGCGAATGAGAGACGACTTACACGGGTGTTATATGAGCGCGAGAGTGTACTTGCTCAGGTTTTTCCTAATTTTGGATGTGTTCTACCACATGAAATAAAACAAAATTTTGCACACTAAAAGAAAATTCAATAGCCTTTCTAATGATGCTAATTAAAAATTAGTCCAAACAACCGCACTACCCGAAAATTTAAAACAAAAAATTATTTTCACTTTTTCATGCACTAAAAAATAATTATTTAACAATATTTGTTATTAATAATGTAGTACATACCGATGTGAACAGATTGACGTTATTGGTTTGTCGATATCTCTCACAGTTGCGACAAAAAATGACTTTGAAAAAAGGGGCCACTTTCACACATTTTCAATGATATCTCGGCCAAATTATGAGCTACGGATTTGAAATTTGGTATATCGGATTTTCTCGAAAATACCTATAAAATGGCATCAAAATTATTTAAATACCAGGGTGGGGCCAATTCTGTATGGAAACACGCCCATACCCTTTACACCTTCAGGATGTGACCTTAACTTTAGATAGTTGGTTATAATAGTTGCTTATGAAATCCTTATTATAGATATTATATTCGCTTGAATCTATTCTATTTTTAGCCTTTGTGTAATAAAGAATTATTTTATCGTTTGTGTGAATTCTTTTCTTTATTTAAATATATTGTAAACGCTAACATATACGATGGAATTATGTAGACATTAAATTCTTGATTTAAATATAATTGATATATTATTTGTGTAATTCATATAAATGAGATATCTTCTTTATAGGATTCCAGAAATTTGAACTATGTTGATATAAATGATGAAAAGTCGTGGTCAGTTACATATGAAGCTCGAAAATCGCAAACATCGGCTAACAGCAGCGTTGAAGACGGCAGTGACAGTGATGATTACATTACGTTTTTGTAATAATTTGTTGTTATTTATTGTTTTTTTAATGAATTTAGATATAAAAATGTCTGTTTTTTTAGGCACGGTTCGAAGTCTAGCTGCTTATCAACATATTCTACGGATATGGATTCAAAAGGAGAGCAAAACTTACAGTTTAGATTTAATAATAAAGATGAAATGCAATATATGTATATTCAAATGGAATTTTGTGACAAGAGCACTTTGAGGTATTACTCTATTTCATTATATATGTTTCTAGTAGTGTACGGCATTTTGCCTTTAAAAGTTCTAGATACATAGTTCATTTTGGCTTTTAGGAATTTTAGATAGTTGACATTGAATAAGCATTTCAATTGTATATGTTATATGTGAATCTGTTATCCGCGGCACATTGTTTCAACGATATTTTCGAGTACTGTCGAGCTGTCTTTGCGTCTTTAAAACTGGCCTTAGAAAATGAATGGTTTTAACATGCTTAAAAAATAGTAAGCTGCACACGTAATAACTTATTGTCGCAGTTAATAGCAAATGAAGAAGTGTTAAGGAGAGTGAAAAAACGCAAGAACTCTACTGGGTTCACGATAATGAAATGGAAATGAAAATGCTTCTGAAACATCATGAAAAAAGAGTGTTCCATTTTTTCTTTCTCTTTCCTTAGAACGCAGGTCAATTAGCACATCTCTCGCAAATCTGTCTATGGCGTTCCAAGCAGTCTCAGTTTCCAGCATCTGGAGTAATTCTTTGGTTCAATATCTATTCTACATCGTCCCGTAGAGCACTAAATCGTGGGCACACGAAGAACACGTACTCAGCACCTTCGATTTCGCCCAAACAATATAGGCAACCCGGCGAACTATTGTGCTTGAAGCGGTGTAGGTAGACTCGAAAACAGCCGTGCCCAGATAGTGCAATCGATGCTTGCAATTTAGCCAGAGTTTGATGTTTGGAATGAGATGATGCATGCAGATGTTTGTTGATTTCCACGAGAAGAGAAATTATAGAGAACTAAATGCCGAAGTGCAGGACCAGGTAGTATATTAATATCAACAATAATATACCACGGAAGGGAAGGGAATCATTGATTCGCTAGTTTGCACACCATGAACCTACCTTTGGACAGACCACTAATTATTGTCATTAACTTCCCGCATGAGAAGTTATTGTAATCGTCACAAAAATCTAAATTGAAATTTTTTCATTAGACATATGCACATCAAATTATTATGTTTGTTTAGAGATCTCACTAGTAAGAACAAATTTTGTTTACATTTCTATGGGTTACGAACCAATGTTAACCCGTTAGACAGCAATGTGGCGCTTTGACATTTCGTGACTTTGCAGTTAACGTAGCTCGACAACTGTTAAGGCTTGAATGGGAAGATTAGTCAAAATAAAGTTTTCTAAAATTTGTAATGTTAAATCAGCCATAGGAGGACTAATACTAGAGCCCATGGGCAAACCAAAAATTTGCGAAAAAAATGTATCGTCAAAACAAAAATAAGTATTTTCAAAAATGAAATTTAAAATAGTTTTGAACCAAATCAAGTCAATAGATGTATGTGGTTTGATGTCATTACAACGGTCAGTGACTGTCTGTAAAGCAAGATCCCAAGGAATATTGGTAAACAAGGAAATGACGTCAAAACTGGCAAGAGAAAAGTTGGAAGGGATTTCAGAATTGTTTAAAATTTTAGCTAAATTAAACGAATTGGAAACATTAAATTTGGATTATATTATATTGCAATATGCGCTCTTTTAATTCCTCGTTTATTAATATATTAGTATATTATAATTTACACAATTTTAGTGTTCAATAAATTTTACATTATTAATTAACTTCCCGTAGGGTAAGCTATTGTAATCGTCCAAAAATCGAAATCGAAATTCTTTACATTACTCGACCTTTTGAAGGTTTCTGAACATTTTGGCATACTTCAGAAAAAATGGATGTGTGTATGTATGTATGGATGCAAATTTGGGAAGTTCCAGCAATTTGCCTTAAGGCACGATGCCATACACCCCACTAGTTTTTTCTGTTGTTTTTCCTGGTTTGGTATGTATATAATTTTCTCCTTTTTATATATGTATATTTATTATCAGCTTTTGTATTATTGTAATATGTTTTTTAGATTACTGAATGATGTCGCACATCAAGCGTCGAAACGTTTAATGGAATAAAAAAATTCTATTTAATCTTCTTTTTATATATGTATATTTATTATCAGCTTTTGTATTATTGTGATATGTTTTTAGATTACTGAATGATGTCACACATCAAGCGTCGAAACGTTTAATGGAATGAAAAAAATTCTATTTAATCTTTTTTAATTCGACGATTGGTCTGCAAAAAAATATTCATATATATATATATATATATATATATATATATATATATATACATAAATACACATATGCATGTACATATATACATGCAAACAAACACGTATGTGCACATACATAAACATATCTATACATGCACACACACACATTACATATACATATATACATACACATGAGATCATTCTAAAATTTATCGTTTTTAATTGAATTTAAAAAATTTAGATACGAGTCATGAATGATATTATGATCTGATCTCGCGTTAACACAACTTAACCAATTGAAAAAGATTCAACAACTTTCTGAAAAAAGTCTGATACAAATGAAATGACAAATTTCCCCATCGATCCGTCATCTGCGAATTTTTTTATTCAAGGTCAAAGCTGTAAAATTCTAGTTTTCCCCATTATCCGCCAAAACCATAAGAAATTTATAAAAAAAATGTTAGATAGGTTTATCAATTTTAAAATTCTCTATTAAACTGTTATTATTATTTTTTTTCGTTAGAATCACTGTTTATGAGATATTGCCGTTTGAAAAATTTAAAAATTTATATTCTTCCTAATGTACAGCCATTATATGTCATCAAACGTGTAATATAAGTTAAAAATAAGAGTCCGTTGGTTTCTGTTTAAATAGTATAAGTTTAATGGAATTTTTGAAGATAAAACTATAGTGTCAGCCCCTAATTACCTTAGTTCATGAGCAACACCCGCCAGCCATGTCCTTTTCCTAGTGTGGGAGGGTCACATATATGACTGTTGCGAATAAACGGAACTAGTGGTGTATGGCATCGAGCTTTATAGCAAATTGCTGGAACTTTCCGTACCAAAAATTAAATTTTTCAAAAAAGCTTCAAAATTTTTTAAAACTTTGGAAAGAATAGATTTTTGTGAATTTTGAAATTTTTTAGCTTTTTTATAACTATATCATCCGACTTCATATGACTGAAACCGCATGAATCGACTTCCAGCGGTTCGAGCGATATGACTTCAATCGACTTCATATGACTCAAACCGAATCATTCCGACTTCAAGCGGTTCGAACGATATGACTTTTTGCGTGTTTATTTATTTTACGGAGCGCTGAGAGCGATTTTGTTAGTGTAATATCAATACCCAATTTTGATAATAATTAAGTGTTTTTGATTTTAAATGTTATCAGAATAAACCACTTAAAATTATCAAACGAGTTTCGGAAATCTTTCGATATAATTATCTTTTGAAACAATTACTAAACACCAGAAAAGCCAGTAAATTATATTTAACTTATGATTATGTAAGTAGTAGCAAATTCACATTAATGAAATTAACTTTCATCTCTCAATTTAGATGCGATCCTTTACTGATTATGTAGTAAAATAAACAATCGACACATGATTCCAAATATTATTTTATATGCTTTAGTGATGCACAATTGTTTGGTAATCTATTATTGTTTAAAAATTAAATTATTTTTAATAATTATCAGAATATACTTTTTGATAGTATTTCATGTTTTCAATTTCTACTTTGTCGGTTATATTGGTTAAACTAACAATTTTGATTATAAATTTGGATCACTTTTACTAAATAAATACATTTATAACTTATTTGTCCATATATATACTTGATTCGAGTTGATTCTAATCAGGTTTTTTTCTGATTCGAATCATTCGAATCGGGAATTTCTTGAGTCGGCGCATCACTAAAACTATGTTAGTGTTGAATTTTGGAGGGAAGGTGGACTTAATTTTTAAAAACATTTCTTTAAAGGAATAAAGATGTTCCTGAAATGAAAATATTTTTCTTTTGGAAAATATTCAAATAAGCTTTTAATATAGGCTGTGAAATAGGGGTTTGATATTGTTGTCATTAGGAAACTTAGTGATAGACTGATAATTGATGAGGGTGAGGTGATATTAGTTTTCTAAAAGAGTTTTGGTTACTAATGTTAAGTTCTGACTATGAAAAGATGAATGAGACAAAATGATCGCGTGGTCTATTAAAGAAATAATTGTGTTAACTTTGTGATTTTTAAGGGTAAATGACACATGGTGAAGCTACCTACCAGACCATATACGTTTTCTCTACCAATTCTTGTAAACAACGTTGTTGATTTTTTGTACAGTGTCGTCTGAAAAGTTTAATTTGTTGTTGATTTGTATTTCATGTGTAAACTAAATGTTCTTATTGTAACTGTTGAAAGTATCGAGAACAACATCCGTTTGTTCTTATTATATTATAAGAAAGGTACCATCAACATGTCTAACGTAAAGATATATTCGGAAGTTTAATGTGGAGAAAGCAGAAATTTAATTTTTTTTTAATACTATATCTATAATGCCAGGGGATAGTGGGCATCCCGTAGCAGTACCTGGTACCACCATAAAGTTCGGAAAGGTAATACCATAAACCATGTTCATGGAGAACCTGTAGCAAAACATGGAGGGACAGATCAGTAGTGGCGATAACTGATCACCAATCCTCTAAAGGTCGCCTTTTAATAATAGATAGAAACATTGACATTAAATTTTTCGTAGAATAGCGGAGTGCTATCGGAAAATGGAACAAAACTTAGTATAAATTACGAGCTGCCAATGGTACTCCAATCAAAACATTCGGACTGAAGCATTTGCGTCCTAATCTCGGGCTGCGGTGACAGATAGACTGAAAATTTATTATTGCATATGTTGATCTACCGATAATTGGCTCAAATTGCTTAGCATTTTTCGCGTTTATAGATATAGATTGCCGGAATAAACACATAGGTGATGGAACAACAGTGTTACACAATCCAGCACAAGGATTCGGAAATTCATCGACTTTTATCAGAATTTTCCAATTTTATTAAACTATCCGATACTCTACGTAGACCACTTCACAGCACAAGGCATTCCATTATCACATCG